AGAGGCTTCAACTCCCCTGGGAACTGCCCTCAATTGCTAAAAGAGCCTGACCTCTGACAAGAACCAATGATTTCAGCAGTAATTAATAAAACTGTCAAATTAATTAACCCAAGTCTTTGTTCACAGGAGAAAAAAAAACATCTATTATCAATATCGTTCTTTATTAGTCGTTGATCAAACTCTTCGACTCAAACCTTCACCACTAGGACACAAGGTCATCACTGACCGATGGCTCTCCCTAGTTAAATTGCCAATGTTTGTTAATAAGCCGTACTGTACTGTGTTGTTTGATGATATGATTAGGATCAACAGAGTCCTACAACCTAATGGTGTGTCTAACGGAGGCAGACAGGCCTATGAAGCCCAGTGTATATCACTTAGAGTTCCTAGAATGCCTTTTAGACATCCTTTTGAATTACTGTGATCAAACACTAGACAAATGCTGCAGGATTTCATTAAACTATTTAGTAAATGGCTCTGCTTATAACCCTGGTTCCCATGCCCTTGTCTTTAAAGGCAGAGTCCTACAAATGCCACGGCTACATTTCCATACTATCTCTTTAGAGGCTTCAGAGCTAGTGTCTTACACCCAGCACAGCTTTTATTCCATTTAGAATAATTACCCTCCATCCCATTTCTGACTTTCAAGAAAAACAAGACACTTAATTGACCACAGGAGCTCTCAAGGGCACAGGCTTCAGAGGTTCTGCTGGGGCTCCCAACTTCAGCTGATGTAATCTACTCTGAGAAGCTGACTTCTATTTTTAAATTATACCCTTTTATTCTGCCTTCAAAGGGCACATATATCACACATTAACTTTGCTCATAAAATACCTCGTGGTACCAGGGTGAATCATGCTGTCTCAGGAGGAGCCTCCGACTGCACAGAGACAACCAGCCCCGCCCATGAAATCCACCCCTCAGTCCTACACTTGAGCCTGCAGCAGGGCTCCAGGGGCCTCCCTCTCCAGGTATCTCCTTCCTCCCAATCATTTTGACAAGGAGCAGATGACTAGCAGGGTTCTTCCAGAAGGCTAGGATCAAGATTTCCTCTCTTTAGCTCCCCACGCAAACACTTACTAAAGACTCCTAATGCTGATGTGTAGAGCTGTCCGCAGCCTCTGTGCTGCAAAGAGTGCCAGATCATTTGCTTTGTTTAATTTTAAATTTTCATTCATCATGTCTGTCTCCCTCACTATGACTGCGCTATTTGAAAAGTTTCCTGACATTTGGGAAATGCTGGAAAAAGAGAGAAAGTCTTGGCCGGAGGTGAAAATCCACTTCCAATTTGACATCTATTTATGTTTATTCTGCTTATTTCTAAAAATAATAAACAGCTTTGTAATGAGAGCGACGCTCTACTGAGTCTGCCATAGGTAAGAACAGTGTGTTTCTCTCTGGCCTCCATCCCTCTGAGACCCAGTCATGCCATGTTTCTTCTGGGTTGTACTCTTGTACTCCCTGTTCTATCATGAAATCTGACTGAGCTGGTGGGAACACAAATTTTGCTACGCCCAACCCCTTCTCAACACTCTTCCAGCCCCTCCTTATAGATTCCCCTTCTTTTTTAGCCTGCTTGCCTCTGCTGCCCCATTGCGTAGTTACCTCTGTCTCTACAAATAACCTCTCGTGGGCCCTCGATCCAGATGCTACGTTGCTTCTAGCTTGGACCTTTGTCCAAGTTGACCCTTCAGTTAGAAACTCTGCTCCGTTGTCTTCCACTCCCCCCATCTAGATCCCTCCTATTTGTCTTGGGTTTTTAATGTTTCTGTGAGATTATACTCTGACAAAAACAACCTAATGGGAAAGGGTTTGTTTTAGCTTATTGTTCAGGGTACAGTCTATCACGGCAACAAGTCGAGGCAGAAGGAGCTTGAAGTAGTTGGTCATTATCACCGTCACAGTCAGAAAAGAACAATGGATTCATACATGCACTCAACCCTCTCTCTTACATTTACTCCAGGACTCAACCCATGAAATGGTACTGTCTACAATCAAGACGGCTCCTCCTACATCAATTAATGTAATTAAAGCCCAGAGACCCAGCTTCCAGGTGATTCTAGATGTCAAGCTGATAACATGAACCATCAAACTACTGATTCTTCTGTTTCCTGTGGGGCACTACTTATCTGGGATCCCCAGTCTAGATTTGTATTTCTGTAGTAGCGTTCCACCTCAGACGACCACTTGGTAAACTGCTTTGAATTTACTTCTTTGATGCTCAGCTGACTGCATGAGACAGGACTTACTGCTATACTCTCTTCTGCGCTAACTGCCATGTAACTGGGCTTCAGTATCATTTGTTGAATAAGCCATCATGAATGAATCAATGCATTCTAAAAAATTCCACGTAGGGGGCCATAACCGTGAGGTAAAAATCACAACTTTTCCTCCTCCAGAACACATGAATTCAGCCAAACTTCAAGTCCAGGCTTTACGGGCTGAAATGTGGGGAGGAGATGGCACTGAGAGACAGGACCCTTGAGGTCACACCTCGAGCCCAGCTGGGTCACTGTCCCAAAGGTCTTTGTAGCACACCCAGTAGCACACTCCTGAGAGATAAACAGACACTCTGTTTAAGGTGGACTCCCACTGGGACCAAGACTCTTAAGCTTACATAGAGTGAATTATAAATACATTGCGCAGAACAGAGAACTTGACACGCTAGAGAGTTAGCAGCAAGCCACAACTCGGTGTTCCTACTTCTCACCTGAACCATCAATCACATTTATCAATTTCCAAAGCACCGGCGGTCACCTGCACGGGAGGGAATGCTGAGTGATCTGAGCAGAGGTGACTCTGGCACCTCAGACTCTGCTTAGAATCCGGCCACTTGACATATAAGTGCTAACCAGGGCCGGGCGATGAGCCAGGGGTTAGGCTCCAGAGAGAACCCAGTGTTCCCCTGTCCTCTTGGAGGGTCCCGTCTAATTAAATACACTTTTGAAGATAGTCTTTCTCAAAAAATACTCTTTTTCCCAATCCAAGTCCACCACATCCAGCTATCAAATTGAATCCAGCACACAGAGGATTAAGGAGGCAGGCACAGCTTCAGCAACTACTGCAAGGCAAAGGAGTAAAAAAAAGAAACCCAAAAAACCCAAACCACCCATATTTTCCAGAATCAAGATTGATGGCATTAGACGATGGGAAATGTTTCAATGTTCAAACCAAATGACGAAGGACTTGGTTTGTGTTTCACCATTCCACAGCTAGCAACCACCCCTACCAAACAGACCAAACAAACACAAATCCACATAACCGTCTCCTGCCTTCCAGAGGAACTGTTTACTTGCATTATCTGTCAGGTTGGAGGCACCCCAGAACTGTTCCCTGAGTGGATGAGTCACAGGCCAGGTGTCGCTATGAAAGTGCCTTTGCCCTTTCAGGTATATTGGTTGACTTTTTTTTTTTTTCTTTATCTCTGAGTGGGCAAACTGTATGTATTTTCGAGGGTTCAGGCTTCTATTTCCTTGTCTGCATCTTAGGTGAGTTACCTACCATGGTTGTTTCCTCTCATCCTCAAAAGAAAAAGTGTGTGTCGCTAACAGCAAGCATTAAGGTGACTCTAAATCAAACAGTGTCGGCAGTGTGCCCTGGAGGCAGCTTTGGTTTTCTCTCATTCTTTCTTTTCTCTACCTATTCCACCCCATTCTCCTCAATCCCTATACAAAATACAAATGACAAAAGAAAGGACTGGCCTAATTTCAAAGTCAGCAGCAACCTTGCAGACCAGTCTGGGCTCACCGGCATCTCCTTGCCAAACCATAAACATTTAATTATTTACTACCATAAGCCTGATTTTCCTCTTTCAGAAGATGAATGAGTTCTACATCTACCACACTGATGAAGACTTTTGGTTCACTGTGCCTGGGACATTGGCCTGTCTATTGACAAGGCAGTGCTGACGTGACGTGCAAAAGACCAGAGAGAAATGATGCTGGCTCCCACCACAGGGAGGGAGTCTGGATTGCAAACTGAGAGAAAGTTGAACTTTGAAAGGAATTTGTCATCTAAGATCTAGGGCAAGACGTGGGGACCACTGCATGAGCACTTGAAGCTCTTCCCAGCTCTCCATTCCCACACTTCTTAACATCCAACATGGTAACCAGCCAGAGTGATGTCCCTAAATAGGAATCTAAGCCTTTTAAGCAGTAGTTCTCATTACCAATGGATCGGTTGAAATGACTAAGGAGTTGACACAATATTATGCCAAGCATAACATTTGGCAGATTTTTTTTCTTTTACACCCTAAAACACACCCAGTCGCCCAGACAAAGAACTACCAACATTGTATACAACAAAAAAAATCATTCCACATGGTCATTAAATAAATACTAGTGTTCGACTGCCACCCAGTGGTAGGATGCGTTCCTGTGTGACAAAAGGCTCCCAATGGCTATGCACTAACACAATGTGGGTTTTAGAAAAAGGAACTGAAGATTATCCCTCGGTTGCTCATCAGTTATTCGAGGGGAATTTAAGAGAATATTCATGTCTTCAGCTATTATTTTCCTCAGAGAAATCTCTGAAGAGGTCGAGAGCAGGGAAGGCTAGGGCATCCTCGCAAATCATACAACTAGACCTCGGTGCCTCTGGAGAGATCACAAAAGGATTGTTTTTATTTTTACAAACTTCACATGAATTAGCAATTAAAAAGACTTGCCAAACAGTCTGTTCTCACCTTCTAGATCTGTTCGAGTTATGCATGAGGAGGTATTTACAAGTGACAACCTTATAAAAAGTGCGCATTATATGAAAATCTGACTTCAATTAAAACCAGCTACTAAATCCCAGCAATTTCCAGCTGTCTCCTCTCTTCTCCTTAGAGAATTATATATCACATTAATTGGTATTCTGTCACATTAAAAAAATGCCAGCAATGATTAATTGCATCCTTGGTGTGTTTGAGTTATGTCTTCCTCACCAGAGGGATTCAAATCACACTTGGTTGCCTTCTAGCAGGTGCCCCTTTTGACAACCTTCAGAGAACGTCCTACCTTCCTGAACTTCTCCATTTGCTTGTAGAGGTCTGGGTCAAGTTCCTGAGACACATCCTTCATCCACAACAAGGCCCCTCTATATTCAATCCGGCACTGCTCCATGCGGTTCACGGTCAGCCAGGTATCAGAGATGGCCCGATGTCTAAAAGTCTCCACTTCTTGGTGGAATCGACACAAAGGGTTCCGCAGAGCCAACCTGCACAGGAGGGCACAACTACTGTTACGAAATGAAAACCAGCAGTAATTCCAATCCCTGACGTGTTCTGCATTCATCACAGATCCAGGAACCTAAAACACTGTCTAGAACACAGTTGCTTCATCAAGACATGGCAGACATTAATTAAAATGCACATGAATTTGGGAATCATCCAGACATTGCTCACATTCTGATCCTTTCGTTCTTAGTGAGCTGGACTGCTGGAAGTACTGTTTGTGCGGTTGGGTGGCTCCAGGCCTGTACAGTCTTTAAGGGTGAAACCAATCCTAGATTAATGAAGGGCAATGAAGGCCTAGCCATTCCTATTTCCATTCCTGGTTCCTCCCTGCCTCTTCTGTTCCTGAAGTTTGGACCCTATGAGAAGAGATGGGGCAGGCATGACTAACGTGTTCTTGACGTGGCCATTTTGATCAATCCTCACAGGCCAGATCACCTGCAGTTTGCTCTAACAGAAACAGAGCTGACCCACAGACCAAAGCATTTTTAAATGATTTGTGGAAGAAGAGCACAGTTACCAAGGTCAGTTGTGTATCAGTGCATTCAGATAGGCTATATGGTTCAATCCTCATAAAAACAAAATACAAAGCTAGTTATGGTAGTAGGACACAGGTTTCATCCCAGCAGAAAACAGGAGGACCAGAAGTTCAAGATTAGTCTCAGCAGACCTGGGCTACCTGAGATCCTGGCTTCAAAGAAAGAGAGACAGAAAGAAAGAGGGAGGGATAGAGAAAAGAAATGAAGGGAAGGAGGGGGGAGAGAGGAAAAGAGGGATGGAGCGAGGGCCAGAGCTTCAGCTCAGTGGTACACACCTCCTAGCATTAGCAAAGGCCTGGGTTCGATCTCAAGCACTGCAGTAAATAAACAAATATCACACCAGAAATGAAGGTACACTGTACAGTGTAAAATTACTATAAGAGTAAGTCACAAAAAACCTGTTATTTATTCATTAAAAAAGGAAGGCATATCCTAACTTAAGGTAAAATATTTGGGGTACAAAATGCTTCCTCTTCCATATTCAAAGCCAAATAATCAATGTTAGGTGAATCAAACCTTGAAAACATTTTCTTTCTTTTGTCAAAAGCTTATTTTTCTTTTTAATTATCCATGTGTGTGTCTGTATAGGAGCCCTCGGAGGCTAGAGATGTCAGACCCCTCAAGCTGGAGTTGTAGGTGGCTGTGGGCCACCTGTGTGGTGCTGAGGCTCAAACAAGGCTTCTGCAGGAGCAACATACACTCTTACCCACTGAGACCCCTCTCCAGCCACGCAAAACATTCTTTATGAAGTTTCAGGGCATAGGTGCAAAAACTTCAACATAAGATGAACATTTAAGGTTCATTTGCATACCAAGTTACTCAGCCAAATGGAATGATGATGCTGGTGTTCTGAAAACAGTGCCTGGCATCCACAAGAGTCTACAATGTCTGAAATGATAAATCTGGAATATACCTTAAGAGGAAAATCTCTTTTGCTGTCTTCTCCATGTTTCCTTTTGTCTGTAGTGTATTATTTAAGCGTTGAACACATCTATGATAGCAGCTGGCCCATGCTATCCTACCTTGATATCTGGAGAGATGGCTCAGAGGTTAAGAACAACGGATACTCTTCCAGAGGTCCTGAGTTCAATTTCCAGCAACCACATAGTGGCTCACAACCATCTATAATGAAATCTGGTGCCCTCTTCTGGTGTGCAGGCATGCATGTAAGCAGAATACTGTATACACAATAAATAAATAAATCTAAAAAACAGAAGTCTTCTCAAAAAGTTACGCCACTGTGCCATGAGGTAAGCCTGTGTTTTATACTCGTTTAAACTTACTACTTGCCTTTCATCCAACAGAAAGTGTAGCAGAAGCAAATGCCTAACAAGTCACTGGTGTGCAGGTTTACAACACGAAGGACTTCTATCTGAAGAGATAAACAGTCCTCAGATGGCTGCCTGAGGACGCTGCTCACTTTCTTACTCCTTTTCTCTTCCTTTAGATTTCGTATATTTCCTCACATTTGCTGAAAATGAGTATTCTGAATAAAGTACTCTCGATTCCTTGGAATGATGAAGATTATACAGATATCTTTAAAGTTAGAAGGACATGATGTTAAAAACTAAAAAGACACACTAAACACCCTCATCAACATTCATCCCCGCCAGGATGCCATAAACCAGCGGTTCTCAACCCGGGGGTCTCAACCTACCAATATTCCTGCATATCAGATATTTATATTATGACTCATAACAGTAGCAAGATTACAGTTATGAAGTAGCAGTGAAAATAATTTTATGGTTAGGGGTCACCAGAACATGAGGAACTGTAATAAATGTTGAGAACCACTGCCAAAAGCTGATCAGTATACATCAGAGTGGTGAAAATCCACTCATTGGAGTATAAGAACATGAATCTAGACCAAGAAAAAAATATCATTCTTACTAACTGAAAATATCATCCTTCATGTTGGGTAAAGGGACCACTCCTCCATTGCTGGTGGGAGCACAAATTGGTACAATCACTTTGGAAATCAGTATGTTGATTTCTCAGAAAATTAGGAAACAACCTTCCTTAAGACCCCAAAGGATGCTCAATTGTACCACAAGGATGTGTGCTCGACTATGTTTATAGAAGCATTATTTGTCATAGCCAGAACCTGGAAACAACCTAAATGCTCTTGACTGAAAAATGGATAAAAAAGATGTGGTACATTTACACAATGGAGTACTCACTCCACAGCAGAAAAAATAATGACATCTTGAAATTTGCAAATGGGTGGAGCTAGAAAACATCATATTGAGTGAGGTAACCCAGACTCAGAAAGACAAATATCATATGTACTCACTCATAAGTGGCTTTTAGACATAAAGCAAAAAAAGAAAAAAAAACAGCTTACAATTCATAATCCCAGAGAATCTAGACAACAAGGAGGACTCTAAGAGAGACATACATGGATCCACTCTACATGGGAAGTAGAAAAAGACAAGATGTCCTGAATAAATTGGGAGCATGGGGATTATAGGAGAGAGTAGAAGGGGAGGGGAGAGAAAAAGAGGGGAGTAGAGAAAAAAATATAGCTCAATAAAAACAATAAAAATCATTAAATAATTTGAAAAATGCCAGACTGGCCAACCCTTTCATTTATGCAAATCTACCCAGTGGAAATAATTAATAAAATAACTAAAGGGCTACTTTAAAATATTTATCCTTTAGTAGGTAATGGTAAAAAATAAAGAGAGAGCCTGGATAAGAGTGGTTAACAGTAAGTACTGTTCTTGCAGAAGACCCAAGTTCTGCTTCTAGTGCCCAGGGTGGGCAGCCAGGGTGGGTTACTGCCTGTAACTCTAGCTCCCAGGTATCAGACTTCTGTGGGCACCCACCTACAATGTGGATGCACACACACACACACACACACTCTAACAAACCAATATTCTTAAAAAGAAGAATGCAACAGAGGGCTCAAGTGTATCAGAACATGCCCAGAAATCCTGTGGAGTTGCTTTTTGTTTGTTTTAATTTTGCATTTTTGTTTTTGTTTTTAAAGATGTAAACACTGAAATATAAAATATTACCATTATTAAATAAAATATCAATTTACTAAATTATCAGCATACACTATAACATACAAAAACTATCTGTTATGGTGCTGTTTATGCTAAAAAACATTCTGTGGGCTGAAAAGTTGGGTTAACCACTAAGATTATGTAGAGCTCTTGCAGAGGACCCAAGTTTAATTTTCAGGACCCATGTCAGATGGCTTACAACTGCCTGTAACTCTAGCTACAGGGGACCTGAACCCTGTACTGGCTTCTACAACCATCTGCACTCATGGGCACACACAATTAAAACAAATCTTCAGAAACATTCTTACATACTCTAAATCGTGTTCACTCAACTAAGAATTCAAGCACAGAAGAATTTCATATCATCGATCTGCTTCCTTTACACTTAGGAGAACTAGGTGGGATATCATGTGACCCCTGAGCAGCTGGGAAAGTGAAGCCACTGTGTGAGAGGCCACCTCCCAAACTGCAGAGCTGGTTGCACCTTATTAAATTAGTGTAGACTGCAGTTTGCTAGTCTATGGTAGATACTTTCCAGTATCATTTCCATTATTTCGTTGACTGCTTTCACCGGTGTGTATGTCTGTGTGTGTGTGTGTGTGTGTGTGTGTGTGTGTGTGTGAGAGAGAGAGAGAGAGAGAGAGAGAGAGAGAGAGAGAGAGAGAGAGATACAGTTAAGATACATTAACTTAAGATGCTGTATTTGTACATTGTGGGATCATTTTGGTCTATAATCATCCAGACTGTAACCAAATAGCATAGGGTAGAATAATTGACAGTGTGATTAATAACAGGAACTTTCAAGGTGGCCTGGATTTGGATACTTCTTTTCATGAACAGGCATTAATTTTTGTACATGGACACACCTTTTTCCCCTCTGAAATCCAGTGTTACTTCATGCTTAACATAAGAGCATTTACTCTGATTTTCTAGGAATGGATTATCCTTGTAAGACTGGTCAAGGCTATATACACAAAAGAATTACCTAGTAAAGGGTTATAATTTGCCAGCTTCAGAATTTCTTTCTTTTTGATTTGTCTGTCTTAAGTATTGAATGTGCAATCTAAGATTTATAAGGAAACACTTTTAAAAAACTTAAACTGTGGTAGAGAACTGGTGGAAAGGGCTCCATTCATTTCTGACCACTGCCTACAAGCCGGGGCCCAAATGCCATTAGCAAGAACCACAATGTCCAATAGTGGGGTCACTGAAAAGCCTATAGATACTGCTGGTACCTTTTCTAGCTCCATCTTTTTTGGGTTTCCATAGGAACGCTCATGGGACTTGTCAATCAATGACCTACTCTTGGACCACAGGGAGGGAAAACAGTTAGGGTAAATAGGGATGGGGAGGAAGGTGGGGCAACTTGAGTAAGGATTTCTGAAGCTTAAATAATCTTGGAAGGCACCTGCCAAACTTTCTTTAGGGGTAATCTGCATGATATTAATGGCGACATTTTCTGGGCCTTGTTAGTGAGTAGTGTGTCTCTGGCACAAAGAGCAGTTTGTGTGGTACAAAGCTCAGGGTTGTTTAACATCGTCCATAAACATCGGTCACGGGTGTATTTTGAAATCCAACCATTCTGTCACAATTTCCTCTGTACTGGAGACTGTCAAACTTTCATGCACATCAGGATCAATTGTAGATCTGATTGTGATGTAGAGTTGGAGTTGGTAGGCAGTGGGGACTCGATTCTGCTTCGAACAGCACCCAGGGGCTGCTGCTGACCATGGACCTGAGGAGTGTGGTCCAGGGCATCCTGATAATCACCCTTTGCCATTAATTAGCCCACAGAAGAAGAGAGGGAGCCTTCCAAGTCAGTCTCATTAGGCTCTTGCTTTAATCAAATGCTGAGAGGGGACCAGACTGATTGTTATGAACAACTTGAAAGTCAAACACTCACAATGATTGGCATATATACTGCCTCCCACGGAGCAGTGGACAAAACAGATTAAATAGCAAGGAGGAAAACTGATCTTACATGCTATCTAACTAAAGGGAAATGGAAGCCAGCTAAGTATAGAATGTTACTCCTCAGGCTTAGGCTAAAGCGTTTTAGATGGCATGATTTCCCCTTATGAAGAAGTGGGTCCCAGATTCTCTTTGGATCCCCTAAAGCACAGCCCCAAAGAAGGTCACACACCTTTGCTGGGAGGAAAAGCAGAGGGCCTTGCCTGTGGCTTGCATCATTTTTCCTGCTCTGGTTTTATCTTGGAAGCCTTGGGATCGGAGAAATTTTCCCAGTTCGTTCTCTTCTTGAGACAAGACTGATGGAGAAAACAGGGAAAGGCGCTGAGAATGACTAGCATTTTTACGACAAAGAAAGTGAGAGAGACAAATCCCAAGGCCCTCTCTCTCCAGAGGCAGAGATTAGAGGAAATTAAATCCAAGTGGCAGGCGCAAGGTGAGTCTCTCCACCTCCCCCCACCCGGCCATTTAACTTCCATGCTGGTCTTCCTTTTACAATAGGAGATCAAATTCACTTGAATACATCTGCCAGTGAGTTTGGTGCCCTGTAATCAGAACCAGAAAATGACCTCTGTACTGAAAAGCGAGCCCATAATGTGCTGCTTCAAGTCGAAATGAAGGAGTTGGGTTTGTCACAGCTGACAGTGGGGACCTTTTGTGGCTGCCTCCCATTATCCTCTCCTGCTGACTTTTTGATCTCTGCAGTCTGAGTTACATTTTGTCCTTTGTAAAACAACTCAAATCCCTCAGCCACCATGATGAAGCAAGGTGGAGTTGGAAGTGGGGATTGAAGGTGGGTAGGCCATCGGGTTGACCATTTGGTAAATTTTAGAAATACAGAGCTGGAACCGAAACTGGATTGGTTATGCTTAAACTTGGCTTTATTTTTAAGAGACAAGTCCAGATGGGGGCAATTTAGTCGAACAGTGATTTGGCACGTGCTGTCTACAGATTGATTGGTAGAAGATATAAAAAGTCAGGGAACTGTATGATTCTTTTGATACCGCTCTTTACCTTCAGTAGTACAAGGTACATTCTCAGGAGGTCGCAAAGCAGCCACCAAAATGACCAGCATCATTATTTATAATAGTAACACTCTCCCTATTCTAGAGAGTGATTGAAAAAAAAAAAGAGCATCCACAAAGCAGTCACAAAGAGAAACAAACATTCTCCATCATCTGCTCCATAAATGCAGGGCTTGGGAATTGAACCCAGGACCTTGTGCTTGCAATCAAAGCGCCCTACCATTGAGCAGCATCACTGGTAATGATGTCGCTGAATGGTATGGAATCAGGCACCAGTTATGGACTGAGGACAGAGAGGAATGGTGGGTGTCCTGCCCTGCCACCCTGTGTTTACTCCCTTGAGACAGCTCTCTTACCAAACATGGAGTTAGGCTAGAAGTTAGTGAGCCCAGAAATCCTCCTGACTCCACCTCCCAACCTACCCCAGCTCTGGGGTAAACGGAGCACATATGGGTATACCTAGCTTTCTGAGTGCTGAGATCCAAACTGAGGTCCTCTTGTCAATTTGTTTTCTTGCTTTGCTTGCAAAGCAATTATTTTACCCAATGAACCATCTTTTCAGCCCCAATCCTGGCATTTTGAGACAGAATCTTGCTATGTAGCTCAGGATGGCCTCGACTTCCCAGTCCTTATAGATCCCTCTGCCTCTTGCCTCCTGAATGCTGAGATTACAGGTGCACACATATATCCCATCTGTCTTTGTAACCACATCTGAAACGTCACTAGAATTCTTGTCCATTTTCAGGAGTCATCCAGACTGGGGCAAGAAGGCCATGACTGAGAGTTGGGAAAGGTGCGATGAGGGACTTTCTAGGATGCAAGTGTTTCCTGAAGTCTCCCAAAGCAGAGACCAGTGTCCACTTCATCCAAGCCGCCAGTGGCCAGCGACATGAGTGTCCACGTAAGGCCCACCTACACTGACACAGTGGGAATCACCTGACACCCTCATCAAGAATGAAGCTCTAAGAGGACCCTGCTCACAACCCTTGTCTCCTGAAGCTAGTTCTTCACACAGGGCATACGCAAGGTGTACTCAGTAAAACTGATCGGTTTCTATTGTTGTCTAAAGGTCGATTTATTTCACCAACCCACCAGTCTCACCACACTTCAAGCTGTATCCTATTGTTAGTACCAACCTCTCCGACAACTACAGAAGGCTTGGGAACCACGTATCCAAAGGACTCACTGCTCCTTGCCTACTTTGACTATGGCCCTTGTTCAGCAGTGCCCTGGAACTGCAGAAGGAAGTCCCAAGGCAGTAGAAGGGGCTTTAGATATCTCCCCTTCTCATGATATAGACAATGCCCATCCTCACACTTTTCTCTTAAAACCCAAATTCCTAACGTCAGCTGTGATGACGCAGGCCCATCATCCCAGCATTGGGAAGCTAGAGGCAGGAGGGATGAGAGACTGGGGTAGGTCAGGGCTACTGAGGAGAGATCTGGCCTCACAGATCCAAGTCCACTTAAAGGTTTCTTCTGACAAGTGGCCAGTCGCACTCTTTTTGGACAGCAGTGACCGTTGGGCTCATATGTCGGCACCTGCTATGGTGGACTCAGTGTCATAGAGTGGTCTGCATCTAACTTCATCATGCGATTCTGCCTTCACAGACTATACCACACTTTGTATTTCTCAGGTCAAGCAGAGAGTCTTATATTCATGGCACTAAATAAATGTTTGTGAAATGAACTAGCTGTTATTTTTGCCTTGTCACTGCACACACTGTATTCCATTTAAAATGCTTGTTTGATATCCATGTCATAGTTTTATGTAGCTTAAAAAAGTCTGTATGGTGTTTTTCAATGCCTTATGTATTGTCTCTTCATTGACTAATATGGGGTTCATTCATCTCTACCAAGAACCTTTTCCTTCCTATGGAGAGAGACTTCCCATTTTCACTGCCAAAAGCAGCAGATTACTGTCACCTTTTTTACCTTAAAGACTCAAGTCACATAAAAATTAACACATTTAACTAGAGTCCCAAAGAAACCAATTCAGCACACCTGAATGTGCACTTGGTGATATGAATCTCTCCTAAATAACCTATGTAGGTTGAAGACTTCAGGAATAATTTTTGGTCACTTTGTGCACTTGGGGATTAAACTTGGTGGCAAACATGCTTGACCTTCTGTGCTGGGCTGATTAGTTGGCAGAGATTCTGAGAGAGTTTGAGCTTTGTCAGAGTCAAGGCCGGATTGTCCCCAGACAAGATGGTCATTCCCATGCAACATGTATATTAGAAAATTCAAAGTCTGCACTCGCTCAAAATATTCAATTAACTAGGTCATAAAATTTCAAATAAAAACTCACTAACATTTACTTGCTGGTTATATTTTCAGATGTGTCCTTGAAAGATAAGAAGCAAATGAAGAACTATGAAAATATTTCCCATAACAGTGTTAATCAACAGTTTGGACTTACAGCTGAGCCTGCTGCAGTGAGGAAGGAGACAGAGGTTGTCCCCAACCCTCCAGAGCTCAGATTCAAGTGGCGGGTGACAAAAAGTGAAGCACACATAATCACAGACATAGGACACAAAAGGAAACATGCCAGAGAAACTGAGCAAGACACTGACTACTTTAGACTGGGTCGTGAGGGAAGGCTCTAGCAGCAGCTGAACTCCGAGTGACAAGAGGAGGCTTTCTTGGTGTTATTAGGGCAACGACACTCGGAGCAGAGGAACACACTGAGAGCCAAAGGCCTCCTGTTGCCTGGGAGGCAAAGGAAATAGAGCCTAGGGGATAAGGTGGGACTGGCCTTTCCTAATTTATAAACTGTGCTAAGTTTGTCTGCAGTGCTCTAAAGCAAGTAGCAATATGATCCAACCTATAATTTCTTAACTCTATGAAAATAATGGTACACTTAAAAATACCAACAGTGTGCAGAATTGTGATACACCCTTCCCCAGCTTCTCCTCTCGTTTTCTGTATGTTATTATGGCACGAGATTCAGAAAATTAATATAGACACAATTCTATGAACTAAAGTATAGTCATTAATTGGACGATTGTTCTTTTTCTGTTCCAGATTTTAGCCCTGGATCCCACATAGCAGTGAGGTATTGGATCTCCACCTTCTTCAAGCTCTGACTGCTCCTTGGCTTTCTTGCATTTTAAGACTTTGACACCTTCTAAGAGTAGCCCAGAGTTACAAGAGGAAACCTCATTGCGGAGTTGCCTCCATCGGACTGGCCTGAGGGGGCATTGCTGTGACCAGAGGTTAATGTGGAAGGATCAAGCCTGCATTAATGTGGAAGTGGTGCCATCCCTGGGCACGTGCTCCAGGGGTGTAGAAGAAAGCTGGCAGAGCAAAAGCAAAAGCGAGAGCAAGGCAGTACCCAGCATCTTCCCATGGTCTCTGTCTCAGTTCCTGCCTCCACGGCTGTACCCTGACTCCCCTTCATGACGGACTGTCGGCTGTAAGATGAGATAAACCCTTTCTTCCCCAAGTTGCTTTTGGTCACACCATTTATCACAGCAACAGAATCCCAACCAGGGGCAAAAGGGTTTGTTTTATCTTTCAGTTTACACCAATCCATATGTCTACCTGTCCATCTATCTCCATACAGATATAACCTGCACTTAATATTTATTGTGTTTTATAGTTTATTACTGTCATTTATCTCGTTGTGTGAATTGGCAGTGGCTTTGACTACAGACTTGCTTCTGTGCCCTTTAATTCCCCATCCTTTCTCCAGGACGGTTTCGGTTCTGGCACTACGAGGCATTCCAGACTCACCTTCAATTTCCCTGTGCTGGACCTGAAGTCAGTCGCTTCCCCAAAGGTGTGGAAAGGGTTTGGAAAACAAGATCCGAATGTTAGGTGCTTCCAGATGCTGTGAGGCATCTGGATATAAAGATATAAACACACCGACCCTGGCACACGTGTTAATTGGTGTTCCTTTCTGTGCACATCTATCTGCACAGGTTAACAGCCATGAATTCACCTGCTCCCTGTGTTTGCTGTGTAGCACCTTACTGCTTGACATTTAACCTCACTTTACACAGGTTCTCCACTATACTACATTTAGTTGTTTAATCTCATATATAGTAGTTTTAGAATTGCTGCTCCATTTAATTAAGATCAATAAATTATCTGCTCCAGTTTTTGTACGTATTTCTTTTTGTGTTGCTCCTTACTCCCCTCTTAAAGATACTGTCTTTTGAGTTGTTGAAGCTAATTTTCTTCTTTCTCATCCAGCCCAGCGATGCTATCTGCAGTGCATCAGATACTGTCTCTACTCCACTTTACCATCTCCTCCCCGCCACGTTCTGGTTTAGGGATTTTGTGAGTGTGTAAAAGGTCACTATGGTTTTAAAAGTCAGAATTACTGTGCACCTTGCTGAGATAAAGCTATGCCCTCACCTCCCGCGCCCTGCTCTTACCCCTCCCTAGCTCCATTTCTGCTCAAAGGGGATCTAATTCCTTTCACTGGGATTTACCTTCCCAGGATTTCTTCAGCATAGTGTGCATGCTGATAATTAATTTATTGATCTTAATTAAATAATGCATATGTGCATGTGTCCTTCTTTTTACACACGTACATTTTATTAATCCCCCTTTTCTTGCACAGCTTGCACCATGCTATATATATCTGTGCTTGCTTTCTTTTTAAATGCTACCTTAGAAATCACCCCATGTCAGTTCACAGAGATTTGCTGTATTTCTTTTCTATGGCAGCTGCAAAACAACACCCTCACTTTAACCGTTCCATTTTCAGTCCTCTATCAAAGTAGGGATCCTGACCAGTCTAAACAGTGCAGAACTCTTCCTTCCTTTCTCAGCTCTGATGACATGGCTTACCCACAAACCAACAGCCAATCCCTGCTACAGTAGAAGACCACTTTATTGCTGGGACAGTGTGTGTGTGTGTGTGTGTGTGTGTGTGTAGCATATGGATGCAGGTGCCCACAGAGGCCAGAAGAGGGCACTATATTCCTTGTACCTGGAGTTACATGTGTCTATGTTTGCCCAGTGTGAGTGCTGGGACCCAAACTCAGGTCTACTGGAAGAACATGTGCTCTTTACTGCTGAGTCATCTCTCTAGCCCCATGGTTGAGATATGATTTTAACTCTGTACATTATAATATCTGTTCATGAAGAAGTTCTGCTGACAAAATATATTTAGTGAATTAGCTAATTGTGTCTTCTCTCTCTACCTGGTCATTAAAAATAATGGACATAAAATAACAAAGAAGTCAAATAAAAATAACCCCAAATCAAAAAGTCCAACATCTAAAACTGAACGAATATTTATAATTGGGGAAGTGAACAGTCTGCATTCATGGATGATTCTCCAGTCTTATGCTCGCTTTGAAGAGCCTAAGTAAACCAAAGGTGGCACTAGCAGAGACCTTCCTCACATTTGAAGGGACAAAGACATAATACCCCCCAAGTAGCTCCTGAACTTATGATATGATACACTAAGGCAAAATAGCCTGCTCTTTCTCACTATTTGCTCAATATCACACTTAAGTCATACTTACAACATATTCTCTTTTGGTAGAGTACAATTGCTTTAGACAAGTCCAAACAGGTCCTCTGAACTGAATGGAATAGCTGCAATAAAACACAATAAAATGCTGTGAAACACACACCAGTGCAAGTAAAACACACATGGAATAAAACCACAATACTCCATTTCCTGCTAGAAGCAAGACCCCCAAAACTCGATTTGACGTCACATGTAGTGACACATACAGTAACCAATGGCCTGATGTCACATGTAGTGACCAATGGCCTGATGTTACATGTAGTGACACATACAGTGACCAATGGCCTATGTCACATGACATACAGTGACAAACAGTCTGATGTCACATGTAGTGAAATACACAGTGGCCAATGGCCTATAATCTGTGCCCATTGAACCTGACCACCTCTGCTATTTAAACTAAGTTCTGCAGAATAGTTATTCCCTCCAGACTCTTGGAATAACAGATGAAAAACAAAACATAAGGGTAGGGCCCAGTATAGGGCTCGGCACATCAGAGACCCAGCATTCATTCTAGCCTAGTGTGTTACCTTTATCATGGACTGTCTTTGTCAAAATGGAGAGCTTCTGCAGGCTAAGCATTATACTTAAAAGATGACAGTAAGTTATTTTATGATCCTAATAGATTTTACAGCATGTGTAAGCAACCCGATAAAGCAAACACAAATCAATTGGAAGAATTCTGTCTATTTAGAACACATCTGTCAAAATGTTATCATGCTAAAAAACAAACATTAACACCTACCTGCTAGTAATATCACAAAATACACAGTGAAGCAACCCTCATGCCACACTAGGGCCATGCTGAAGAACCCTAGGGAGAAGGCAGGGGAGCTGTACTGAAAAGGATCTAACTAGATTTGAATTCGTGGCTGGTGTGACGACTAATGTTGGGTGTCAACTTGACTACATCTGGAATCAATTAAAACCAAAATGGTTGGGCACACCTGTGAGAGATTTTCTTGACTGAATCATGTGCCGTGGGAAGACCCACCCCAAACCTGGGCCACACCTTCTGGTGGCAGCCCACATAAAAGGACAGGGAAGAAGGAGATTGTTGCCTTTTCCCAGCTGTTCTCACCTCACTGGCAGATTCATCTACACTACACACCTTTGCCAGTGGAGAACCTACTTCTCCAGGATCCCAACATAGACTCAAGGCCAGCTGACACATCCAGCTGTGAGCCAGACAGCCACTGACTCTTGGTCTTTCCTTTGCTGGACAAGCCAGACCACAGAAAGCCACTCCGATAAATTCCCCCTTTTACGTATGTTCTGTCTACTAGTTCTGTCCCTTTAGAGAACCTTAACTAACTGCCTTGGTCTTCCCTTCAGAAACAGATCACTAAAGAATAATAGGTGTTTTGCTTTGGAGAGCGAATGTCTCCCCAGAGCCTGTGGGAAGTGGTAGGATCTTTAAGAAGAAGAGCTTAGTGGACAGAAGTGAGGTCACAGAGGATATGCCCTCAAAGGGGTGTTATAACCTCAGCCTTTTCTCTATTTCCAGGCTATTAGAAGGCAAACATGTTGCTTCCGCCTGGCGCTCCTGTCATGATAAAGCTGCCTCACGACATCACTGAAAGCAAAGGGGCTGAGTAACCTTGAGCCAAAAATAACCTTGTTTCTCCTTTCCACTCAAAATTGCTGTGGAGTAATAGAAAGCTGACTAATACCACAGACTGCATACTTCTCAAAGCCCTGTCCGTGGACTCAGGGACCATGACAGGTATCAGTTACAAAAGAGGATAAACATCTTGCCTCCATGGAGTCACTCCTCTTCGTATACAGTTTATTGGCCATGCCAACGTAAAAATATGTCTTGGTAATCATAAAGTACTTACACTATTTGAGTGGAAACCGATGATCTCTTTATATTATATATGGCCAAATTATCTAACAAAAGTAATGAATAAATTTAAAACAATTAAAATTCATTCTTAAGAATGTTTAATAAAATAAAGTTTATTTTATTCTATTAATGAAGAAACAAATTTACTTATTTATTAAATTACATCTTCAATCTGTTTGGGGTGGGGAGGAGTCTTTCCCTGTTTAAAAACAAATCAGAAAACCATCAGAATTTGCTCCTTTACAGACTCCCGACAGCAGTGTTCTGGGCCACAAACCACCGAAGTAAAAGCAAATACGTTCAGACTCCGTAGGAGAAACGATATGGTCCATTGTTACTGCTGACCTTTTAGAGCCAAGATATTAGTCAGGCGCAATAAAAGGTCCAGCTTGGGAAAGTTTAGTTCTGTGAGTTTTGACAATTATATTCACTTGCGAATCACACACAAAGCAAGCATTTCCATCATCAAAACAGTCCCCTCTGCCCTGGCAGCTACTAAAGACCAAACCTGAGAATATTTATATACTAGCTTCTCAATGAATTAGGATCACTATATTTATTTATTTGGATTATTTTTGAAATAGGGTTTCTCTGTGTAGCTTTGGAGCCTGGTCTACAGAGCGAACTCTACTCACAGAGATCCTCTTGCTTCTGCCTCCCGAGTTCTGGGATTAAGGGTGTGTGCCACCACCATCTGGCTATATTTATTTATTTGATATTTGGATGTGTATAAGAAGGCTAAAGGTCAATGTTGTTATTTTCCTTTGTGGCAAACCACCTTATTTTTAAATTTTATTTAACTTGTCATTACTACTGTGTGTGTATGTATGTATGTGTGTGTGTGTGTGTGTGTGTGAGAGAGAGAGAGAGAGAGAGAGAGAGAGAGAGAGAGAGAGAGCGAGCTAGAGAGGGAGCGCACGCACGTGTGTGTTGTATGTGAATGTGTGTGAATGTATCACACTGTGCAGTAGAGGTCAGAAAACTACTTCCAGCAGTCAGTTCTCCCCTGCTGCAGTGGGTTCTGGGGATCAAAGTTCAGCCGTCAAGATTGTCTAGCAAAAACTCAGACTCACTGAACCATCACAATGGCCCATGACCTGATTGTCTGAGACAAGGACTCTTACTGACTCGCTGGCCAGCAAGCCCCCAGGATCTAACTGCTTCTGCCTGCCTTCACCACCATGTCCTGCTTCTACATGAGTTCCAGAGATCCAAACTCAGGCCATTGTGCTTACATATCAAACACTTCCCCAGCTCCCAGCTCTTCATCTATCAAGAAAGCTTGGTATGGGTACAGATTTTCTGGACAAGCAGAGTAAGTAGCCTTCTGCAGGTAATTCAGTGTGAGAACACTCCATAATACTTTGCACATCATTCTCATGTTCTACTGAGGGACCCATTTTCTCTATTAATATTCATAACTATATTAGTATTTTGCGACAGAAATCCCTTTGGTGAGCAAAACATAAAGTCACAGGCCAAATACTTTGGATGCATGAACTAAAACAGTGGCTATTTAGATAAAAGTATAGTTATTTAAAAAAAGTATGCTACTGCAAAAACTTGCATATCAATGTAGTGTTTAAGACAGTAGCAAATTAAATTAAATATTAAATTACTATATCTTTGAAACATGGTCTGGCTGTGAAGTACAAACTGGCAATCCTCCTGCTTCAACCTCCAGAGTGCTGGGATTTCTAAGCTTAACTTTTTTGGAAAATGCTTATACTTACTAGCTTGCTAAAAAACAAATCTATGAGACATGAAAGGCATATAAAACTTAGAATGGTTTAAACTGTATTTACGATACAAATATCAGAAAAGACACTTCTTCTCTCTACTCTGTTCCATGGTACAATCTCTCCTGAAACAGCACCCAATCAGCTTCAAATTCACAATTTCCAATGACAGGAGAGAAAGGGTTAAGGGCTGATACTGTTTGTCCTAACACATAGTGACTATTTACACAGTCATCCAGTTGGAAGCTGTGCCTGGGACAGGTTGGGGACACAGTGGTGATTAATGCGGACATGGAATTTGACCTCCTAGTGGAGAAAAGGTACGCAAACAAACTTACACCTGAGGTTTTCCCGTGGACCGTGCATCCGAAGGGTTTAGTTCTAGGCTGTTTACCCTCCACAGGGATTTCTGTTGCAGAAATGAGTACTCTGAGTTAGCGAACAGCTGTTCCGTGGGTAGATAGCCGGGGACTGTGAACAGCACGGTGAGGTAAGGCTTTTCAAAGTGACTTTTAGGCTGTGAGAACTGAGAATGAGTCAGTCAAGGAAAGACGTAGGGGAACGAGTCCAGGCAGACCACGGAACTGCTTTGACAAGTCTGAACTAGCTGGCTGTATTCAGAGATCTGAGGAAAAGCCATAATGGCTGGAGCATCGGGTGAATAGCACAAGATTGGTAGAGGGAAAAAAAGATCCAGGGGAGGGAAGCAGAGGCCAGGTATATCAGGAACATTCAGAAAGTGGATTGCCAGGAAGATAAGCACTCAGAAAATTATTGTTATACCTTGAATTACACTCATTCAACCCTCAGAATAGCTGGGACAAGGAAGCACTCTTGTTGCAGGGGCAAAAGTGTCTCATATCCCACTGTGCAGGGCATCTCAAAGCCAACCCATCTCTCATTAGCCTGAACTTAGAAAGTCTGGCCTGGGTCTGTTTCTACCCTCAGACTCATAATATGAGTGCACTCCTCTTCCATACAAAGGAAGTTCCTCTGTAACTGACAGCTACATGATGTCCCCTTAGCCCTTGGCTACAACTTAACCACCCTTCTAGCAAAGGCTTTGAAATCTTCAGCTTTTAACTGCAGTCTCACGAATGTTCAGCTCATTAACTTTAGCCACCATATTAAATGTAAGAGATCCTATTGACTATCATCCACGGGACATATTAAATGTAAGAGATCCTATTGACTATCATCCACAGGACATATTTTTCCTCTGTGGCCTGCCACTCAGTACTGATGCTTGTTTTTGAAATATAATAAAAATGACAGGCAAAAATGCTCAGCAGGAAAACGATTCAGCAGGCCTTCAACTCAAACTCATGCAGTAGACCAACCATGGCACAAGTTTTTCCCTGCCCACCAACCAGCTCCCGAATAACGACATGCAGACTTAATATTAATTACCAGAACCCAGCCTTAGCTTAGGCTTGTCCCACTTGCTCTGACAACTTAAATTAATCCATATTTTTATTAAGCTGCATTTTACCACATGACTTTTACCTTTATTCCATTCTGTGTGTCCCACTTGTTCCATGTCTGGTTGTCATCTCTGCCTTTCTTTTCTTTTTTTTTTAAGATTTATTTATTTATTATATATACAATGGTCTGCCTGCATGTGTCCCTGAAGACAGAAGTTGGCACCAGATCTTATTACCCAGGGTTGTGAGCCACCATATGGTTGCTGGAAATTGAACTCAGGACCTCTGGAAGAGCAGTCAATGCTCTTAACCACTGAGCCATCTCTCCAGCCCTCATCTCTGCCTTTCTTGTTCCTAGTGTCCTCTCTGTCCCCAGGAGTCCTGCCTAACCTCTTCCTGCCAACTATTAGCCATTCAGATCTTCACTAAATCAAGAGAAGAAACCCTGGCAAAGACACATCCTCACAGTGTAAACAAACATTCCACAACACAACTGGATATTAAATTGTTTGCTACATGGTTAATGCATTCTAGAATTTTCCATGGCTTAGTAACAACCTTTCTAGACACTATAAGTCATTTTGTTTGTCATTGACTAAACATTTGCCTGGTTTTAATGTTTAATTCTAGGACCTTAGATATAAGGAGCAACTTTTTAATTGTGTTTAATACTTCAACAAACACTTCCTTGAATTGACCACACACTGTGCATTCCAACACAGTGCTTGAAAACACATTAAAAGAGGTGTGCTAGGGTCAGACTTTGTAGATTTGTGCTAGGATTGGGCTGATCTGATCCTAGATTTCCCTCACTGTCTAACGTGAGCAAATTAAGACCACCTAGCAAGTTTGCTCCAAGGTTTTGATTCTTGCAAGGCCGCTTTGCTGGGCCCAAGGGCTCTGAAGAGCTTACCTCCAGCTTGGCATCCAGGTCTGCATCAGAGGCAACAACATGCTCATCTTCCTTCTTCCCTGTTGCCTTGATAAAGGCCTGCTTCGTTTCCCAGTATTTCTGTTGCATCTTATTGACAACTGACTTATCTTGAGAAAACCGGTCCTGCAGTTCCCAGGAATAACTGCTAAAAACAGTAGAGAGTTATCTTACTCGTGGCTTTTAAAAGTATTAAGATACTACACTATGGAAGTATTTTAGCTAGATATGACCATTTTCTCATGTACGTTTACAGTACTGATAAACACACAAATGACCTCTGTTCTTATGGAGTTATTATGCCATGAAAATCAGTTAATTCTTTCCAACTTACTCCACAATTTTAAAAGCTAGAGTGAGAAAATTCTGAATCTTAAGAAAATCAAGAAATTGAACATCAAAAAAGAATATATATGTGTATTCTGGGTTGGGCACACATTCCTTTTGGGGGTTAGAAAGAGTGAGGCCAAGGAAGTCAGTAACTAGTTCAGAACAGCCCCGTGAGTCGGAGATAAGGACAGACAGCAGCACGTCTCTCCACACCTCCATTATGCCACGGTGGGGTGACAGCAGAGCAGGAGATAAGAGGCTGAAAAATAGCATGTCTAAAATCTGCTACAGAGGCATCTAAAACTGTCAGGCTCGGAGTCAGGGAGAAGAATGGTGGCTGCGTCTGGGGGAAGGGAAACGTGGGGAATGGCTAACCCAGTCATAAGGTTACAGTTAGGCTAAAAGGAGTAAGCTCTGGAGATTTGCTACCACTGGACCTACAGTTAACAATCAGAATTGTGCACTTTAAACACTATTAAGAATGTAGATTTATTATTTATTGTTCTTAAAACAATAAAGCAAAAGAATAAACTCCACAGCGTTAGGGATTTCTGGGTGCCGAAACACTAAATTATTCAACATAAATGCTTAAAATACAGACAGGAAGTCATTTCTTAGGAACACTGAAATGAGAAGCAAATAAAAATATGTAAAGATGAATTAGAAAGACAATTGAGAATGATATCAAATTCCATAAGAGTGATCAGAGGACCCCAAATTCTGCGAGAAGGTTTGTTCTTGGTGTTCCATCCCTCCCCCTTGCTCTGTCTACATCTTTCTTGGTTCAGTTCCTGCTACAAAAGCTCAACAAATCCTCCTTCCTCCTACCCTAGCCCATCACCACTCTAGATGTGCCAAGCTGACATTCTAAAGCAGGAGCTGCTCAGTAATATTGTTGCAAAATGTTGTATCTCAAACTTGATGATTCACACCTGCATGTGTCCCTGAAGACAGAAGTTGGCACCAGATCTTATTATTACCCGGGGTTGTGAGCCACCATATGGTTGCTGGAAATTGAACTCAGGACCTCTGGAAGAGCAGTCAATGCTCTTAACCACTGAGCCTCTCCAGCCCATTTGTAAGCCCATTATGCTTGCTTACAGGGTCAATTCGCATGTTTAGTCTCAGAAAGCCAGGAAATCCGTCTGATGTTGTTTTAATGATAACTATTTTGTTAAAGGAGGTAGGACTTTGTGAGAGTGTTATTACTATCTTTATTACCTCAGAGATTTATTTTGGTCTCATATTAGAGAAAATGAGATAAAAGAGTTATATCATATATGAAAAAGATGACAATTCTATATAATGTGCACATTAAAAGATTGGAAAGATCTAGTCCAAATAGATTATTTCAGGGAAATGAGATTCTGAAAAGATGAGGGATTGGATGGACTTTGTATTGGATCTTTTATTTTTTTCATCAATAATTATATTTCAACAGAAAAAAGTTCCATGGAGTAAAAAAAAAAAATCAGGAGTGCTTTAGAAATCTAGCAAGCACATATACCCATCATTTAACAAATGGGAACCTTGGGTTTCAAAATGCTAACGATCTTGCTCGAAGTCACAGAGAATGAAAAGTGAGACCTTGCGATGTATCTGCAGCAAGCCACAAAGCTGAGCTGTGAAAGGTGCTACCTACATCTTGGGGCTTTCTGGTCCCTACAGGAGTGAGTACTGAGAATTCCAGGATATGGCAGTCACTGTGGTGATGCTGAGGTGAGCCAGCTCAGGGACATAATGAGGCAAAATGAAATGAATATAATAACATTATATTCGTTTATATATGTCATTAATATAACGAAAACTGTTGGATGCATGCTCAATGACAATGCTCAAGAATAACCTTAGCTGTTTATTAATTATTTTTTAAAAATTTTATTTAAGATGTGCAAAAATTCTTTTGAAGTTTAAAAGTTGACATTACAGAGGGTTTTGGGCCTGATAATTTTCTTGGTAAGAAGGGAAGGATTAAAAGTATATTTCATATAACTTTTAACAGATGAAAATAAAACTATTATATATTTTATGACACAAATTAAAGATGGTGGAACTTGACAACATTCTTGTTGTTTGGTGGGTGGCAGCTTCACCGTGCTAAGAAATTCCAAGGAAAGAACTTCTACGAGGCTTACATGTTGCTTAGATGTGTTACGGGCACATACACGACAGGGCTCTCATGAGTGTCATGTCTAACTATGCTTAGTTTCTGAATGTTCACAAATGATGAAGTCGTGTCTACAACAAAGCTGATCAAGCCATAGTGCTTGATTGATTGTATAATCACTCTTTAGGCACCCCACATAACTTCACACTGGGTCTCCAAGAGTGGAAGCTACAAACAAGACAGGAGCAAAAACACATCGAGTTATTAGGGTATATGAAATGGTGGTAAGAAAAATTACCCTTAGATTCCTAAGAGCAGATGTATACCCAAGAGAATTTCTTAGCAAATACCAGTGACCTGAGTATTTGCAACACTTCTGTTGCTTGGTTTTTATATTCCATTGATCAGAGAGAGTAAACCAGGCTACACTCACATCAGAAAGTAGACAGGTGGTTATTTCTTGCTAAAATCTCCTTATCATTCCATTTTATCCTCATTTATTAAGCATTAACTGTGTAATTTCCACTTATCATCCTCCAATAGAAAAACAGGCAACAAATTCCTTACCATTTGTGTCCTGACATGCTTCTTTTTCTATTCTTGATTTGAGAAGGGGCAGAGAAAAAGCAAGGTGTGATATGTTATATTAATCCTGAAATAAAACAAATGCATTTAATAGTTATACAGTATGCAACAACTATGCATTAATTCAACACATGAAGCGTTTTCAGTCTTGCCCAGATCTAGTTGCATGGTAAGGTTCAAAAACTGTTCTACAATAATGCCAGGTATTGGTGTAAAAAATGGCTTAGCTGAGTAACACTGGAGCGAATAGCCCCAATGAAGCTTTAGGCAAAGAACAGGTTGGATAGTGATAAAAAAAAAAAAAGTAAGCAGGGTTTGTAAGACTATATCAAATATGTTGACATTTCTATAAAGCTTAAAATACATGAAATAATGCTATATATCATTGACAAGACCAATATTGTGTAATTGACCAATATTGTGTAATTTATTTTAAAAACCATTCTTCAAAGGCTTTAGAGTTCATATTTTTATAAAACATACAGTTGTTTAAACAGAAACAATCAGCAACAAATAGATGGGTCCAACTGTGGCAAGGCCAGAGTGCAGGATATGGACCTACACCAACTGTGCATGTTTAAATGTTGAGATCACAATGCTTAAAACAGCTACTTAGCATGCTCGCGTGTGTCAATGCATATGCCATGGTGCTTATATAGAGGTCAGAGGACACTGAGGGTAAATTTTCTGCTTGTACCATCTGGGTTCTGTGGATCTACCTCAGGTTCTTAGGTTGGTGATAAGAGCCATAATCTGCTGAGCCATCTCACTGGTCCAGTCTTATTACCCTCTTTTACATAATTTTAAATTAACTTTACTAACTGATACATAAAACACAAAAATGATACATTCTAATGGAGTACTATGCTCTTCTGGTATAAAGAATTTGCTAGAAACGATGACCTCTTTGTTCCAGGCAGCAGAAACTGGTAGGGAGGCTGTAGGATATGGTTTGAGAGCTGCACGGTGCTCTCAAGTATGCATGGAGAATCTCAATGTTTAAAACACATGGCGAGTATTAGTATCTTCTTAGTATTTCATACTCAAGATCTTAGGGAGATAAATCAGAACATTTCAAAAACAAAAGACAAAAAATTTAAAATCCAAAATCCTCAAAGACCCAATAGGTAGATACAGGATGCTAAGAGGGTAGTGGAGAAGGGTGTGTACATACATCAGGCCAGCAAACTATTTTTAGTAAATCTGGGAGTCACCTGTGTCTTTGCCCTCAATCTGCTTGCTCCCCTCATACAGCAGGCCAGTCCGAAGGGCAAAGCCCACCAGCTGCTCGGACAGCACTCCAACTTGCCGAGCAGTGAAAGAAAGGGCCTCTGCCTGACATAAGACCTCTGGCTGCCAAGGGTGTGCTCGGCAGTCACTCAACTGATCAGTAAATCTCAGGCAGGTCTGCTAACTAGCGCTCTTAAAATCACAAGGGGGTTTTGTCGCTGTTGCTGTTGTTGTTGGGTCTTTGTTTTAAGATGTTTTTAAAGAATGGCAGTGAGTATTTAAATTTTCAGGAGCAATTATTGTGATGACAGGGAATAATGGGCTCTTCCTGAGTGTCTGAAATGACAGCAACCCATCACTGACACCCCTTTCCTTTGTCTTCCTCATGCAGGGCATCCAGGCATCAAGAGAAATTGCCTCGGGAAGGACACTCAAGATGAGTGTGCTTTGCCGTCCACTCTACGTTTTAGTCAAAGCTATGGTCAAGCTTTCTCCCCTCCACAGATGTTCCAGCTATACAGTCTCTTGATACTTCCAACAAAAATTATCATGAAAATGCACAAAAGAAAGGAAATTACTATACTTTTCCACTGAGTTTGATTTGCCATGAACCGTTAAGTGAATTAGTACTTTTGATTCATTTTTTAATTATTGGAATAAAACTGATAAATGCAGGTGTGTGTGCATTAATGTGTGTACGTATGTGTCGACATCATTTATCAAAGCCGTCCACCTTGTTTTACGAGGCAGAATTTCTCACTGAGACCGGAGAGATTCACAAGGGATTCCTTGGTCTCTCCCTCCCCAGAGATGGGTTTACAGACGTGCTTTTTATGTGGGTCCTGGGTTCAAACTCACATCTTTCTGGACTGAGATTCCTTTCTCATTTTTTTTTACATGTACATGACAGTGTAGTGTAGGGCATTTCTGTGCAACAGATCTCAAGAATGGTTTATCTTGCATGACTCAAACTTCATACCCACGATCATCTCACTATCATCTCATGTCTGGCCCTGGCAATCACCATTAAACTTTCTGATTGTGACTTTCACAACTTTAGATACCTCATTATTAGTGTAACCAAGTAGTATTTGTGTTTTGTGATTGGCTTCTTTCACTTTGCACGATTTCCTTATAGAATGAAAGAATCAACTCCCTCCTTTCCCTTTAACGCTAATAGTTCACTGTGTGTCCATGCGCCACCGACACTTGGGTTACTCTCACACTTAGCTACTATGGATAATGATGCAATGAACATATGTACCATATACCTCTTCAGGATTCTTCTCTTATATAAATAATTTACAATCAGAAGTGGAGTCGCTATGGTAGCTTTTGTTTTGTTTCATTTTGATCTTCTACATTGAACATTCCAGCAGCAGGACATATGGTCCCAGGCCTTTGCCACTAAGAGTCACTCTAGCAGACATTACTATACATCAGCTCATTTTGGTTTTAGTTTGCACTCCCCTGATTATCAGTGATGGTGAGCATCTTTCTGTAGTTTTGTTGACAATTTGTTTGTTTTTATTAGACAAAGGTCTATTTGGTCCTTTCCTCATTTTAAAATTAAACTATTTTTTTTTGTTATTGAGTTCTTTGAACACTACATCTACATGGTTTGTGTTTTTTCTCCCCATTAAATAGATGGTCTTTGATTTTGCTTCTGTTGATTGTTTGCTTTACTGTAACATTTTTGATTAATTTTGCTCGTTAAAATATCTATTCACTTTAGTTCTTTACACCAACAACAAATATCAGTGAGCAAACTGCTCCCTACACAGACTCTCCAGATGCTATTAGATTACACACCATCTGGTAGTGCACCCCCAGAGCTGCTCCCTAGCTACTGCACTATGCTGCTCTGGGGTGTTACAGGAGTTCTGGACTCCTTCCCCATCGAACTAGTATATTGGGCATAGGGTCTGTAAACTCATAGCTACAACAAAATCTGCATATTAATGTGATTTCTAAGCATATTAAAGTCTAAGAACTGTGACTAAATGCAAGGAAACCCTTTCTGGACATGGATCTTTCTTAAAGAAACATGGCATCCATGGTGGGGAAGAGACAGAAATCTTTAATTAATTAATAAAGAAATAAATAAATTAAAAAAAGGAAACATGGCAAGATGCAACAAAAACATGGGTAATCAAATAGGTAAACCATGCGGGTATATCTGAGTATCTCATGCTAAAGCAGCTACAGTCAGAGCTTCTGTCTCTTCCTACACATATTCAAACACCACACACCAGGACAACTAATAACTATCTTAGATTTTCTAAACCCAACCCGTCCCAACTTGCTCTATCAAGTTGACAGTGCCACCATCAGTAGTCAAAATCATTCTGAGGCTGTTGCCATGGTGCAGTAGGTAGATGTGCTTGCCTTACCTGCCTGACAACTCAAGCTCGACCCCCAGAACTGCTAACAAGGTGGAAAAAAACAACTGAATTCCACAATTCACAGCCTACCCATTCACGACTTACCCTTCTCTCTTTCTCATACCTTTATGAGATAATAATAACAAACATAATAGATAAAATTAAAATCATCATAAGTCTTTCATTTTCATTATAACCCTTTCATTTTAGTTTGACATTTTAGTTAATCAAACACTCATTGGGGACTAATTAATATGAAATAGGCATTGTCTTTGATGGAACCAACTTATTTTCTAAATTAGCTCCGTCCAATAAGAAAACACTCTCAGCTACCGTGTAGTTAGAAATGATCTGACAGCCATTGTAAAATCAAAACAATGAAACTTAACTTTAATTTGTTATTTAGCCTAACATCTCTAAAAATTTGAAAAGGTAACCAATCTAAAAATTTCTAGGCTGTTTTTCTCAGTAACACTTGAGCTAAATCCAAGATGAGTTGTATATTTTACCTAGCACATTGAGTTTCAATTCAGACTGGCCCCACTGAACAGTCCATAGTCTCCTGGGGTTACAGTGTTAGACAGAGTACCATTTATAGTAAGGACAATTGAAATATCGTACAGGCTTATACAATAGGATCAGACATATGAAACTTTATAAATTCTCCTGTAAAAATGTTTCACTGTAAGAGAGAACAAAGTTGTCAATAGTTTCAAATTGATTGTAGACTTCAAGTGCCATGCAGGCAAGGACACTGATAACTCAATCAGTAAATCTTGTCCACAAGAATGTCTGTGTTTTTCTCAAGTCAATCACCAATGATTGATGGAGGTGGGTCTTGTATCTTATCTGTTGCTTTCATTGGTTAATAATAAAGAAACTGCCTTGGCCCTCATAGGACAGAAAATTAGGTAGGCAGAGTAGACAGAAGAGAATGCTGGGAAAAAGAAGCTGAATCAGGGAGTCGCCATGGTTCTCCCACTCCAGACAGACGCAGGTTAAGATCCTCCCTGGTAAGCCAGCTCGTGGGCTACATATAATATTAGAAATGGGTTAGAACAATATGTAAGAGCTAGCCAATAAGAAGCTGGAACTAGCCCGGCCAGGCAGTGTTTAATAGAATACAGTTTCCGTGTAATTATTTCGGGCATTAGCTAGCCATGCGGGTGCCGGGTGCCGGGGATGCAGCCCTGCCGCCGCTCCTATCACTACAAATGATGATGATAAAATGATGATAATGGTGATGATAGATCTGTTCAAAGATGTGGGGCTCTAAAGTTAATAATGAAGATAAATTTTATTTCAGTAAAACAATCAGCAAGGCAGCAGTGATTCCCTGAGCAGTGGGCTCTTTGTCCAGGACAGAAGTAAAAGGAAAGGATGCCTTTCTGCTCAGACGTTAGCTCCTGCCACTTGGATGATAGCCAAGACAACCAACCAACTTCCTTGAGTT